ATACCATCTATTAATGGAATTGTGTTAATGGAATGGTTATTAATGAAAAGGAAAAAAGATCACTTGAAGCATGTGAAATGTGGTGTTGGAGACATATGGAAAAAATAAACTGGACAGAAAGAGTAACAAATAAAGATGTACTGACCCGAGTTGAAGAAACAAGATCCATAATTAAGAAGTGAACAATTTAGAAGTTTTCGCCATTATAGAATTAATAGATTTTAGTGATCCTTCAGCCTATATTTCCTATTTAAGAATATATATATATATAATATATTATATTATTCTTCATCAGAAAATCATATTTCTTAATTTTAGATTCTGAGCGAAGCAATGAAAGTATTGATTTTACAATGATGTGTTTTTTTTTTGTGTGTCTGTCATCACCTTTTAGGATAGTAAAAATGCTTAAATTTTCTTCAACAGTAGGTATTTTTCCTGATAGGAAAGTGAAACTAGTTGGTAATTTGGTTGGTCAAAAGTAAAAATTCAAAGTAGGTAGGTTTTTGACAAAATCGGTTTTGGTATTTGGTGTAGGCAACTCTAAAACAAATGACCGTAGATAAATGAAATTTTCAATGAAAGTTTATAATAGCATTTTCTATACAATTTTCGAAATATACTAACTTTTAAACTGTTTACAGACATTTTAAAGTTTTTTTTTTTCCATAAATGTCAATAAACTATTACTCGTTGGATTAAATAGGTTGAAAATTAAAGTCAAGTCACCTAATATATTGTCAGTGACAGTTACCTACAAATGTAGATATTTTGACAAATATGAATTTAACCTACTGTAATTTGGATATACTAAAATTAATTAATTTAATCACAATAGTATCATAAAAAAAACAAAATCGATTTTGTTGAACACTGGTTGTCCGTAAAAAGTTGTTAGATTTTTTAATTTTTGTCGATGCTTATGAAAACTTCAGAGAATTTTTAATTTTCCAATAAAAATAATGAAGAAATTAAATAAAATCTAATAGGTACTAAATTGCAATCAACAATTAATAATTAAAATATAGTCATTAAAATGTCCACACCAAAACACTGTATTTTTATAAATTTATTTTACATTTTACAATGCAAGTAGTTCCATTTCTGAAACAGTTTTTAAGTCTGGTTGTAAAAAAGGATTTCTTTTGGAAAAAGTTATTTAACCTACTGTAGTAGATACTAATGACTAATACTAAAATAATTACTTTAATCACAATAATTTCATAAAATACACCTACTTAATAATATCATGGGCTGACAGAATCGCTTAGAATGGTTTTTCTTATACATTGATTTTTATATCAATGAATTCAAATTTAACACAATCCATTGCAAACCCACTTGCAACTTACTGTACATCACAGCGACATCCACTTAACAGCTTTTTTTGAGTTGTAGTAATTATTTTGAGTTGGAAATAACATGTTTTTTATTTAAATATGAAAAATAATTTTAAATAACTTGGTTGTAATTAAATGGGAAATAGTTTAATTTGTATAATTGTATACTGAATGTAAATGTATTACTGAATTTAAATCTTTTCAGGATCATTTCAAGAAAAGATGTGCATTATTTATTGTTTTTTTATTAAATATGTTTTAATGTTTCAAATACGATTGAATTTTAATAATTTACCAAGGAACAGCTATGCTATAATTATTATTTTTTTTTTTAAATTAAATTAAATATAGGTATGTACATATTCATTGTTTTATAAAATTGAATTAAATTAAATTATGTAGTATTAATTGTTTTAAATGAGACTGAATTTAAATCATTTACCAATGAAATTCTGTGCAATTATTTTGTAATTATTTATTGTTTTTAATTAATATTTTTTTTATTAAATATGTTTATTGTTTCAAATCTAACTGAAAATAGATAACTTTCCAAAGAAAATGTTTAGTAATTATTTATTGGTTTTTATTTTATTGTATTTAATGTGTATCAAGTATTTACCACAGTAAAGGCAGTAAGATTATTTTCAAGTGTAAGCATGTTATAACATTATGTAATCAATGGATGGTAAATGAATATACAGCTAAATGTATACAGACATCGGGGTCAATCTTGAAATACTCTCCAAGAAGCAATATAGGCCCCAAACCAGGCAGCATAAATATCATTTTTAAATTTTTTAAATTAACAAAACCCCATTGTTGTCCTTCCTCATTTCATTAGTCTTTTCTTCATAATGTAAAATGTAATTCCTCGTGCAAATGTTCTTTACATTTCAAAAGCTAATAGGTAATTGTTGTTGGTGTTTTGTCTTCAATAAATAGTAATAGAAAAAAAATAGTTACATTTACAATTCAATTAGACCAAATCTTTAAAAAAATGTTTCCAATATCATGCACAACAATTATAATACATTTTAGATATCCAGTAATTTATTATAATTGAAAATTAAAAAAAAAAACTTTATTGTATAGTCAACAGTAGACATAATTTTTACTTACTCATTTGACTTATTTCACCAACTAATATAAGTAACTTTTTTATTAGTTTACTTGCACTGTATTATTTAGTTAACAAATATTATCAATTATGTATAAACTTAGCAATACATATTATTTTTAGATGTGTTACAAATCGAAAACGAAATCGAGTTTCACGAGGAAATGGAAGACTTCTTATCATAAAATATTGATGGATGTGATAACCCTTAAAATGTATATTTGAATACCTAAAAATATATAAGGGGTAAATGATAAATTAAAATATAAAATAATATATTTAATTCTATTTAACCAGTATGTGGTGTTTAATTTCAAAGGCTGTGCAAGTTAACAATTTTTTTTAACTCTGGTAAGTTAAGGTGATGTGTCAATAAGAAAAAGTAAAAGTTAATTTTTTTAATATAAAAGTACTAGCGTACTTTTCTTTTTAAGAATTCAAAACTACATAAATAGTTTATATGTTAGTGGCAATGTGTATAATATTGGTATTTTATATAATGTCTAGGAATTCTATGTAACACCAAATACAGCCGGCAATCTATAAAATTGTTTAAATTACCTAAGCATTATATGAAATGCCAAACAATGTATAGGTAATATATTAAATCCATATATTCAGTACCTATTGATATTTGACAATATTCATTAGTAATCTGTAATCTATAAAGTAGAATTCCGACTGCCGACAGATAACGCGATAATTTTGTCACCGTAGTCATATACTCTAATAATAATTTACAAATTATTTCTTTTTTAATTTTTATGCATTATATTCTGTAATATTAATGATACCTACTTTGTAATAAATATTTTTTTGTGCACTAATACAATTAATAATTGTCTTAATTATGATAAAAGGAAATCTATTTATTTGGGTTATATCACTATTCTACAGATTGCCAATTTGTTGTTTGTCGTTTTATGAAATGTCTAGTTATTATACAAAATATTTAGGAAATGTGTGTAAAAAAAAATTTACTATACACTTTTTTAAAAACCACCAGGTATTATATAGAATTCCTAGGCATTTTATATATTAAATATATTATACACATTGCCGCTAACATATACATATAGTATATTTCCTAGAAGTTTTTCATCACTAAGAAAAATAATAACAATTGTTACAAGCAGTAAGTATATATAATATTACGATTTCTAAATAATTCTAATAAAGTACACCTATTAAACAGTTCTATCAAACATGGTTCATGGTATTAGCTATGAGTAATACAGGTTTATTTTTTGACTAATGGCAGTCTTTGAAAATAATAAAGCTAGTCTATTTTTGACACTAGTTTTGTGATTAACAATTGTTAGTAATTATGGTAGTTTAATTTCTGATAAGGTAATACTTAATTTTAACCAAAAATTACCCTAAATATTTTTTGTTGTGAAAAAAAACTGATTGAAATGTAATAAAATAACATTTAACACATTTTAAAATGAAAATTTAATTCTTTGATTTTAAGCTAATTAAAAAACAATTAAGTTAAGTTAGTAGTTAAATTAAGAGAAAACCAAAAGTAATTAGTTAATATAAAAAGTTAAAATCCACTTCACTTTTATCTTATTAACTCGTTAATGTCCAGCCTCATTAATTTTCCTATTTTACTGATTAAATCTACAATTGAGTTCTAATTTAAAAACTTCTTAATTTTTATTTTAAAATCAAAGTAAAGAAGTAATATTATTTTTAAAACTATTTTTCTTTACTGTGTGTAGAATTAATACATTTGCCAAAATTAATTACAGTGAAACCTTTACACTTCTTTAATGAAAACTCTTTGTCACTGAAATGTTGTTCCGCTATTCAGAGGTATCCGTCAGGGAGGTTTCACTGTGTATAAAATGTAAACAATTTCAATATATTGTTCATGTTGAGCATAAAAATGATAGAATTCATAAAATATTTAAGTTTTTGAGATAGCATTGCTTGTATCATAACAGCTTATGAAGATGTGTACATATATGTACCATAATATATTATGATTATACACAATTGTTGATTAATCTAAAGAAATAATTTTAAATCAGAAAAAAAAAAACAATTATAAATGTTTTTGCATAAGACTAAATTGTATTATGTTTTAAAAATAACTACAAATACTTAAAATTTAATAAATATTGGATATAAGCAAAAAAATGATCCCAATACAAAACCTATATATCTGTGATACATATCTTAAATAATTATCTTCAATACTGCCCAGCACTGAAGAAAAACTTAATTTAAAGAAAATTGAATCATTAGTTTTTAGTAAATTTATAGTTAAAAGTATTACAATATGTAAATATTTGTAGATAAACAAACTAAATATTTCAAAATTAAGGAACTACTAAGATCTAATTTATAATACATAATTTTTTTTTCATTAATTTAAATTAATTATGATTAATAGATATTTAGTATAAAAAAAAAAAAAAAAATTGTCATCATGAAACCGAACATTTTTATTTTAAGAGTAGAATTAAAGTCTTCAGTTTCTCTTCATAATAAACACACAGTCTCTAAAAATAATTATGAACACATAAAATACTCTAATCAATTTTAATCCAAAGAACACTATTTGTCGATGCAACTACTAAGACTTTAACATCGTCAAAATCTATGATATCAAACATATTTATCTGGCCCATGTTCAATTTTGCTTCTATCAGTATATTTTTGTCTTTCAGATGAATTAAATCATCCATACAGTGCAAACGATATGCCAATAAGTAACCATTTAGAGTTCCAACAAACAAAATGTTTGTATACATGTATATTGCAGAAGCTCCTGAATATTTTTTCTTCAACCACGAATGAGCAATTATACATGTATCCTTAAAAATACCATGAATTAAAATGCTATTAGTCTGATTCCGGCTAATTATCAACCCATGAACTACTGATGTGAACAAAATAAAACTTAAATGTGGGCATAAATGGCCCATGATAACATTTGAATCAATATTTGAATGCCATTCGTACCATGTTTCTCGGACCCAACAACATACATTAGTATAAAGGTTCATGTCCACATCAACAAGTCTTCCAGTATAATGTTCTCTCATATTTCCATCATGTATTTCAAAAACTGAGTCATGCAATGGACACATATTTGAATGTTTTTCATGGCAAGTGATGAAAACATCATTTGCTCTACTTTCTGCATGCCGCATGACAGGTCTAGGATTTAACACTACGAGTTCATCCGTCTTGCAATCTTCGGTATAACCACTTATAACATAATATTTTCCTGAGATCTGATTTTTTGTAATTGTAAATGAATACATAAAATTTGGAAATACAATCATGACATCAAGTTCATGACAAACAAGTTTAACTACTCCATTAAGACCCAAAAAATTGTGTTGCCCAATATAGGTTAATTTAAAAACAGGATTTTGCCATTGAACCCATTTCTTATAAGCTTTTTCATAATGAATTTCCAAGAGTGATTCAAATGGAATCTTTTTATCACATTGTTTAGTGAACAAATCAATTAAGTATTTCTTAGGTATTTCTCCGAGGCAGAATTTTTTCCATAGTTTGTTATAACGAAGTGCATTATTAGCAATATCAACACATGTCTTTGATATCTGTTTGAATTTAAGCAAAGTCTGGCCATCAAAATAACAAACAATTTTTTCCATCAATTCAGGCGGTATATAAACCCCGTGAGTGTCTTCTTTAGGAATATCAACACTACAACAAAATACAATTTTAAATGTTAAAATATAATAAATAATCAGTTAACACTAATATTTTTTTTCTAAAAATTAAAATGTATAGGTAAAATACAAAACTATACTAATTTAAACACAAGTCTTTTTTTATTATTATTATAAATATATTTTACAATCTATTTAATTTTTACAAAAAGTATTGGTGAATAGGATAGGTGGGTCTAGTTGATGAGACTTATGGGTACTATTGCTATTACAGCTGTCTTTCGGGATCATTTAGAACAGGGCTTAAATAAAAAAAAAAAATTAATAATATCGTTTAACGTTATATGTATATTAAACGTTATGATCGAATGAGTGTTTAATGTTAAAAAGAATTTAAACGTTATTTAACTTAAGCCTTTAAACGTTTTATAAATTTAAGCGTTATGAAGCGTTTAGCGTTATCTGATGGATATAACTTGTTTCCTATACAAAACAGAATATTGAAAAATATAATATTACAAAAATTCCCATAATATATATTTTACTGATGGTTATAATTTTTTAACTATTTTTTTTTCAGGTAATCATATGTTTCAATTGTTTATTGTTTCTGTTTTGTTATACGTTTCCAATCGTTTATTGTTTACGGATATGTTATCCATTAACCGTTTTAAACATTTATCGTTTACTGGTAGGTTAACTGTTATTCATTTCAATTGTTTATCGTTAACCAATATGTTGTCCGTTATCGATTTCAATCGGTTTTTGAATTGTTTAACGTTTTACTCATAACGTTATAAAAACGTTTTGAAGCCCTGATTTAGAATAATATTATTGACAGAAAAATCAGAGGTGAGAGGATTGTGATGATTTTGAAGGTTGGAGTGAAGGCATTTGTGGAAAGTTTTAGCTACATTTTTGACAGTTGAAATTAAGATAGAAGGTTTGGCTGAACACAGTTGGATTAACACGCTTGAGGAGTAGCTTATGCAAAAAAGTTTTATTTTAAGGGGATTCAATACCGTGATTTTCTGTTTTTGTCTAACACACGCGCGACATAGTATTTTAGACATGTTTTTTGCCAAACATACATACCAATTGATCTAATGAAGCGATAAGAATTCTGAAAACAGATTTGAATTTGTCGTCAAGTCTACTTGAAATCGACTTTCCCACATTTTTGATATTATTCCCCAAATTTTTTAAAATGTCATATTCAAAAATTCTGTTATTTCAATTTTTGGAGAAGTTAAAATCGAAAAATCAAAAATGTGAGAAAGTCGATTTCAAGTAGACTTGACGACAGGGTCTGTCTATACGCAGTCGATTAGACCACCACCGTCGTTATCATTTTGTTATTATCAAAAACAAAATTGTTATCATATCGTATCATCCATTATAATTTATAATAAATACCTACATTACATTATTTCATAGATTATAATATAACATAATAACATATTATTATATAAATTGTAGAATTTTATGCATATTTTGCATATACAGCAATTGCAATTTTCTTAACAAATGTAATCTATATTATAATATATTTTAAAATACGTAACCTTAGAGTACCTATAAGACGGGACTTCTGGAAATAGAAATGGAACTATTTAAAATAATAATATATTATAAATACATTCCACTGTATACTATTTGCAAATTAAATGTTTATCTTACCCCAATAGTCAAATAATAATCTCAATTTTTCTCTATTATGGGGAACAAATTCGAGAAACTCTAAAAAAGATGATAGATTTAACATACATAGTTAATACAAATGACCATTCAAAAGAATTATCTGAACAGCTTTAGATTTTAAATTGTGTTCATTCGAAAATGAATTCCATGTCAAATAAAGAAAATGGTTTATTATTATTACCTCCAAAGCGTTTATCTGAACATTTATTAGACATACCAAAATCCCACAAAAAAAAGAAACTTGCGAAAGACGTAGGTATTATTATTAATTTTTTTATTGACTTACAATTTTAGGTATTATTATTAATTTTTGTATTGACTTACATTTTTATCTAATGGCAATTTTTATTATATTACATAATTATACACTTTTAAATTGATTATAACTGTTTAAAGATATTTATTGTTTATGTGAGTTATTTATATAATTTTTATAATTAAGTGAAATTTTTATGAACAAACCATGAATGTATTAGTTTTACAATGATATATTTGTTTTCAACTTGTAATAAATACTCAAAAAAATAATGTAATAATATATGTACTTACTATGTTTTAAGATTTAAATAGCATAAAATAAATTATTAAATTTTGATTTCTTATTAGTTATTATAATGGATGACAAGATTATGTTATATATGATAATAATTTTGTTTTTGATAATAACAAAATGATAACGACGGTGGTGGTCTAATCGACTGCGTATAGACAGACACTTGACGACAAATTCAAATCAGTTTTCTATAATCTTATCACTTCAATAGATCAATTGGAATTTTTGACAAAAAACACGTCTAAAATACTATGTCACGCGTGTGTTAGACAAAAACAGAAAATCACGGTATCGAATCCCCTTAAGATTAATATGCAAGGGTGTATGAAGTCATAATTGTTGAAAGGATGTCAACACACTATCTGTATTCTTTCTTTGACAATCAACATAGTAAATTTGCGTTTAGCAGAAGAAATCTTATTAACCCAGTATTTTGGTGTTTTTATGTCAACATCTTACAATGAAGACAAGTATTAATATACCAAAGAAAAGAGGTCAACAAGTACCTTCCTTGCCTGAAAAATGCTATTTGGGGAAAATACCAATATCAAAAGCAAAATATGCAGATCTAATTTAACTTTGTAATGATGGAATAATTCCTCAAAAGTAAGTAATAATATTAAAGTAGTTAAATAGTTGTGTAATTAATGTACAGTAAAACTTCTGTTAACAGTCACCTCTATGTAGCGGTAATTTTTTTCGGCCCTGTTGAGTGTTATCCTAGTGTTATTCTACCTCTGTAGGACGGGCACCTCTAAATAGCGGTCATTATTTACAGTCTCTTCGGTGACCGTTATATGGAAGTTCTACTGTATTATGTTTATTAATAATTGTAGGTACCATGTTGAGTACTTTGAAATGATGACTAATGAAAATGTAAGAGACTGTTTAAATGAAACTGATGAAGAAGACTGATTAAAACATTTACTAATTTTATAATTTCCATTAAGAAAGTTCTTCTATTAATTTTTAAATATTTTATTCGAGAGTATCTTATAATTTTAATTTTATTGTGTTTGTTTTTACATAAATAAGTCATATTTATTTAACAAAAAGAGTCATGAAGTTATGTTTAAAGTTAAAACTTGTTATTGTTAATTGTTATTGTTACTAATCATTAACTAAATTTATAATTATTTTGAGAAAATTATTTCTCTAATTATTATTATTTTTATATAACAGAGTTGTTTATTGTAATGTTTTAAATTGCTATAACAGTTGTTATTATTACTTAAAAAGAATTAAGTAATATTTGCAATACATATTTATAATTTAAAAAAAAAAAACATAAGAACTAAAGAATAAAAATTATTATAATAATAGAACGCTTATTTTACTTAACTGACCTCGACACTAGAACTCAGTGCATTATATTATTCATTATTATAATTATCTCAAGTTTGATTAGGTACCTACAAGAAAAATGTTCAAAAATAAGTTGGATCCCAGGTAAATATTTAGCTAATATTCAGTTTTAATAATTTGCTAAGGGCCTATGTACTAAAGTGTATTTTTATATTTTTATGCAGATTTTATTAAATAAAAATAAAAATATTATTATAATTATAAATTAATTATTTAAACTATGGAAGCCATTATAGTCAATAAACATCTTTGAGGTGTAAGAGCCAAGATCAGAAAAAAGATTTTTTTTTTTTTTTTAACTGGCTTTAAATACACTAATATATTATTATTATTATGAACAATTATAAATTAATTAATACAAAATATGTAAAAACTCATTATAAGTCATATTAAGTCTCAAATCCAAGTGTTATACGATGTGCTAAGGTTGTAAAATATCTGTTTTTTGGCTCAGCTGAACAATTTGAAAATTGGCGTTTATGCCCTTTTGCCTTCTAACCATCGATATTATTATTTTAAAATAAAAGCTTTTAGCTAAATAACAATCAATATTATACTTCTTGGAAGGGTGGAAGGGGAAAAAAGATTGCAAAACCGGTGCATTCTTATTTGGAAAGAAGTAGTTAGAATGTTATAGTACAAAACACTTCAGATTAATTTTGTATTCACTTATACTACAAAATTATAGTTTATATTAGGATTTGATATAGTGATAATTGATAATTTATCTTACCCAATGGGGATAATTAATTAATTATTTACCAATCAGTTAAAAAATAATAACTATTGTGGCATTAAATAATATAATTATGGCCAATGGGTCAACATTTATAATTAAACTTTTTAACTTAAAATTAAAATGAATCAAATAGTTACAAATATATTAGAGTTATAATGTTATATAATAATACTATATACCTAATTATAACTAAACATTTGAATAGTATTATTTTTATCTTAATAACGTAATTTATTGTAAGCAATGTTAGAAATTCTAATATTGGTGCCTAGGTTAACCCTTTGATGAGCAGCCTTGGTATATGTAAATGCATTTCAGGGAGCAGCTTAGGAATGGAAAATTTGAGAGAAGTCGAATATGTACGTCCTATTTAAATAGGATTGATAAATGAAAATAAATCGATTGATTAAAATTAAACTTCACAGATGGCAGCATATATTTTATAATATAAGGTATTTTACGGTAATGAAACATAAACAAAGAAATTAAAACAAATTCGCGGTAAAAACTTATATTTACGTCCATGCTCTTCAAAGGGTTAATACTAGTATTAATAAATTTTAATATAATATTTTTTTTTTCATTACAGTTTCAACAACTTTATTGAATCTTGGGTTTTATTACAAATTAAATCAATAAAATCTTCATTATTAATACTTTAAGGTAAGTCCTTTTCAATTTAAATTAAAAGAAATGTCTCTAATTTTGGCTAAGAAAGACAATTTTTCAAGTGGTTAATTATATATTTAAGTTTTAAAAAAGTGGTTTTTATCTCACTTTCGTACACAACTATAAATTATTATACAGTATACACAGACACACAACGGAGCGTGTCGCATAAATTATGGATTCTTAGGAATGGAAAGCCCAATATAGTGATATAAAACTGACGCATTCATTGATGTTAACCTTAAATTTGGATTAATATTAAATCATTCTATATTATATTTTTTTTCAAAAATAATAACGACCAAATCTTTATGTAGTTTTCAAATTTTTTTCGCAAGATCACCGATTCAATTTGGGCCTGGGAAGGCCTAAGTAACGGGCATTTTTTGCAATTGGAAAAGGTGGGTTAGGTTAGATTTGGTTGGGTTAGCATGGCTTGGTTTGAGCGTGAAAGTATTTTGACTCACTTTATATGGATACCAAAATCTTTATAGGTACCTACTATGGCACATTTGACAGAGCTTTAAAATACAAATATTATAACAAATATAACTAAACTAACAGTATAACAGAGCTAAGCATATTTGTATTAAAAGCTTAAGGTACGGTTTCCCTGCAGCGTCAGACGCGAGAACAGCATGGCTGGACCAGACGCGGCGACCAGACGCGGCGTCCAGACGCTGCAGGGGAACCGTACCTTTAGGTATTTATGAAAACCATTTACCCAGAATTTATATCCAAAGATGCAAGAGAAATGGCTTCCACGTCGTTTTCCACTGTATCCACGTCACTCCATGCTCGAACACTTGACTCTTCCATTATGAATTTTCGTCAAATCACAATGTCGTCACTTTCGATCGTTTACAATATGAAAGAACTCACACTAGTACAACAGTGAACAGTCGACAGTTGTTGTGGCTTGTGAGTTGTAGAATGACAAAGCCGTACGTTTGCCGATTAACCTTATCAGTTTTTATGCCAGCGAATGGCGATCGTACATTTTTGTTGTGAGTAAAATTTCATGGAGTAAAAGATTCATCGTTTACGGTCCTGGTACGTATGTTAATGGCTATGCTATGCCGCCATTTTGCTGCGACTCATTTATCAACGACAAAATAAAGTGGGAAAAATTCATATTCACAAAACATTGTCGAAAAGTGGCAGCGTAGCATACCTAGTACAACCTCAGATCATTTTACAAACACGATTATAATATTCTTTCTAACAGTACAACTACGTACTCTATAACTTACACTCTAGAATATCTATGTGTATTATAGTGATATTATGTATATATCACGATAATTATTTTTTATATTCCGTGATGTCAGTTCGACACCGTGATTATAAAGAAATAATTTCTGATGCATAGTTCTTTATAATCGTGTTTAACACTAACCCAGAACCCAGTTACACAATACATACAATAATTACACAGTCAATAATCAGAGACATATTATTATAATAATGCGTAATATTATATTGTGTGTATGTCGACCATTTATTAGGTACCTACATTAAATTGTATTTATATAGATAAAAGAAAATTGACGGTCTGGCTGTAAAAACGAAAAAAATAAAATATCCATCTCAGTCGAGGACACGATAAAATTATAATTGTTATTTTTATGTCTTTAAACAGAATAGATTAAAATAATAAATGGTCTTACGTGATAATTTTACTCTGTTGACTACAGTCAGTAACCGTACCGCCGTATTATATTATATATACGATATATGTAAGTAGGTACCTAATCTACAGTGACCTACTTTCACCTCAAATCGTCAATATTTGTCATGTAATTTACTTTAAATATGTATATTATCTTAATTCGTGGTATTTGACATTTATTTTGTATAAACTTATGAACAGATTACAATATTGTTGGGAGCTAACGTTATAATTCGTCTTGTTCATCATTATATTACGAATACACTGGTGACGCCATTTTACTGTTGTATTATATTCACACTGTTCTACCGAACGCATTCGGTAGATAGGTACCTATACTGACTTTTAAGTTAAATAAAATTATACGAAATAATATTATTGGACAATGTATGAGCGATTTATTTTTGGCAATATTACTATATCCTCAATGGTAGATCTAGAATTTTTTTTTGGTGGCGGGCCATCTTCGTTTTCCGAGTTTTGCTACAGATATTTAAAAACGGCCTAATTTATTAACCCAGATGCTTGGCTAATGGAGGGGGGCGGGCCCTTCTTAAATCCGTCACTGTTCATCCTTCTGTATAACTAGCAAGCAATTGCAATATAAATATAATATACAGTCGTCCCAATTCCAAAAGCCCTGTATCCTGTATCACACCCTTGGTATTTTATCCATGGCAAATAAATATATTTATAATATATGGTTTTTACTTTTTATTACAGTAACGAGCTGCAATACCACTGATTTTATAATATTTGTATAAAAGAACTCGTCCTGACTGGCTGGTTGATTCACTATCGAAAAGCCGGAGCCGCCGAAGCTACGAGTCAAATTGTCAGTAGGTAGTTTCGTGTTATGATAAAGACCAACTGAAGAATGAATTTCCAAAATGTTTGTTCATATTTTTTAAAACAGTTAAAAATAAATATTAAAATTGTGTAAAAATGGGCCAATTAGTTACGTCATTAGTCATTATTACTATTTAGTACCAAACTCAGATTAAGAGGGGCAAGGGTGGCACGGTCCCTGGGCCCATTGATTTTGGGGGCCTGACTTTATTCCCAAAATATATTTTTTTAACGCGTCCAATACAGTTACAAGTAATTATTTAAGTAGGTATGTATAATAGTACCTAGGTTAATTATTATTAATAAATAATAATTATAAAAGAAAATTGTTCTCAATTTTATATCACGAACAATTACTATACATAATGAACTGTGTTTGCCAACAATTTTATTTATGTTTTTATTTCTGAGCATTTTTGATTACCGATTTAACTATTTAAGTAGGTATATAGGTTGTTATAAGAAAAAATATTTAGCTCTTGTAAATTAGGTATTTCAGTTAAAAGTATTAATGCATATTATACTAAACTATTTAGAGGACCATTAACCATACATTTCACAGAATTCCCCTGCAATTAAAAACCGAGCAAGTTCAGTACTCCAGTTTACTGTCATGAATTTTCATGTCAAAGTCAACAATACAATATTGGCTTTTACCGTCGTCATTTTCTTATTGTCTTCAGCTTCTTCTGCACTAAAACTAGATTCATTATCGAATTTAACATTGTATTCCAAATAATGTATTTATTATTTTGTTTACAGAGTTAAATGATAACCAACATTATTCAGATTAAACACATTCAACAATTGTGAATTATGATGACAATATTACTCATTTCATTCACTTACATAGTTACTTCAGACAATGGTTATGATAATTTGTTCTAAACACAACTGTTTTCATGAGCATATATTAGAAGTTGTAATTATTCTGTTCCTTGTAGGAATTATACCAATAATAATCGTTTTTATATGCATACTTCAAACTGACCAAGGGTCATTTGCCACAGCCTTGTCACGTGTGTTTTCATCTGACGAACAAAACTATTAACTGTGGGATAAAAATATGTGTGCATTTGGAGTACTTGGAGTGTGCTTATAAAATCAACTGGTCTTGTCATAAGAATAAAAATTACATCAATCCTAAACATTCCACAACTTCAGAATAATTAAATTATCTGAAATATGTTCATGAAAATAGATGTGTGCTGAGATAGTTATCGCTGACTTAGAAACCAATGAATAAAAATGTTGATGGTTACTTAAAGCTTTATCAAAAAAATTAAAAAATTGAAAGATATTACAGATAATTAAAATTTATAATTTGATTAAAAGTAAAATTAACCTATGGCTTTAATTTTATATAATTTGTAACATTTTGACAGAGGTCATAAATAAATTAATTTTGTATTCATATAATTAAAAAGATTTTTTATGTTTTAAATATTTATTTGTACCTTTCACAAGAAATTCAAGTGCATTTTTATGTTAATATAGGTACATAAAATTTATTGATTATGTATAGTTATTTTAAGTTTAAAAATGCATTAATATGAGGTGTTAAAATTGAAATAGGTCATGTCATAGCATTTCGATGTGTAACAACCACAGAAGTTGAATGTAAATAGGTATGTGAGAAACTACTTTTTAAAATTGGTATGTTATGAGAAGTGTTATTACTAAACTTACTTTGTCATATAATTGAAAACTGCAATAAACATAATAGTCTGTTCTACAACTAAGTTAGGAAGTACCACTTGTTATAAAGAAATGTATAATTAATAATCATCTAAAGGCGTTGAAACAGCTGCAATATCTGCCTCCAAAAGTTAAAGCAATTAAACAAACATAAAGTTGAGGTATTCAAAATAAAAAAAAAATAATACATTTTTGTAATTTTGTAGACAACTAAAATAAAGAATGTTGGTTGTCAATTATATAATTATTTATTTATTGTCGATTAAGTAATTAATTGTGCACGAAAAAAAATAAAGGAATCACTAAAACACTAAATTATAATAAACCAATAGGTTATAATGCACATTTTTAAACAATATAATATATAATTTTGAATATAAAAGTGAAAAAATTTTAATAAATGAAAAAACAATGTTTGTAAAAGGAATGCAGTAATTTTAAAAGGTAAAGATTATAATTCATTATATGAAAGAGTAAGACATATTTGATTTTATAATTCTTATAATCTATATTGAGATTAATATTGTTAAAATAGTTAATTGTTAAATGCAAAAATATATATTTAAACAAATTTAATCTTATAGTCTAAATGAGGGTGGTTTAACTATTTAAAGTTGGCGAGACATTTTTCCCTATCATAAATACAATGGGTGCCTCCAAAAGAAAAAAAAACATAAAATAATATAATCAAGCACAGCATTTTTGTTGCATCAATTGCAAGTTGTTTAAATAAAATAATATTTTGAATTCTATTATAATATTCTTGTTATAAATTCAGAAAAAAAAATTCATTGGAACATACAATAATAAAAAATATATATATTAATATAAAATAAGTAATTTATATGTACATATAAAATATTATTTCTTTTTAACTTAAGAGGAAAAATCAATATGTATATATTATAAAGGGAGTTGCTTAAACTTATATAATATACTATATAGTGTGTTGATTGAAAATAAATAAATAAATAAATATTTTGTGACGCTTTAAATTAATGATAGACAAGGGTATACTCTTGACTATCATTATACACATTTCTAGAATCAATTAATTGTGTTAAACTACTATACAAAAGTGGAAATAGCCTATTGTACATGGCATTTATATATCTATTTATAATTATAATAATAGTAATAATTAATAATTAAATGTACAAATATACATAAAAATATAATTTAAATAGTATGGTGAACAATGCATTACACTAATAAATTATATTTCATATAATTACTTTGCAGTTACACATCGCATCATAGTATTCTTCTATTTATTAATTGTATTAAACAATATAAATACATAGAACAATTATGTAGTGATTTCATAAACAATGCATTACAATTATAAAATATATTACACATAATAATAATATACAATTAAAATAATAGTTTGGGAATTTTTCCATTGAAGTTAATCCGGTGAAAATGTACATCTTGTGACCATACAGAATGCCCCATCTTGAAACTCAATATGTAGTACATCTCTGAAAATTGATTAAACATATTAATAATTCATAACCTATTGTCATTTAGCAAAAATAAATGGATAGTTTTATAAACAATTATAGTATAGTGTGTAACAGATAAAGTTTAATACTTC